TGTACCTTGTTACTGGAATTTCAGGCATCAGTAAACACCTGTGAGATCACTGGCAGGGAAAATTTCCTTTTAGGTAGAGAGGTTTTACTAGTCTAGCAGGTCAGATTCTCGAGAGTTCTAAGGAGGAGATACACAAATTGCTTACAAGGATGAATTTATTTTAAGGATACATGGGAAGCAGAAAGGGAGATCTCAGAAGAACAATTTCCTGCTCAGGTGTATGTGGCAAATTTCATAAGACACTGGGGAAAATCTGCCTAACTTTACTAGGGGCCAGAACCTTTGCTTGAGTGACCTGCCTTTTCTCTGCCTGACTGGCAATTGCATTTCCCCTAAATTGTGAATTCAAGTAGATCCTTTTCCCTACTAGGTATGAAGCATTGCTACCGAGCAGAGTTCACACCAAGTCATCTCAAAGACCACTGGCCTCCCAAACCCAGGCTACGTGTGGTTGATTGCAGCTCACGTACCTTCTGCTATATAATCACTATGCTAAGGGAGCAAGGTTCAGGCTGGTCTCTGAAAGGCCCTCTCCTATTCCATTCACCTCAAAGCAGAGGCTGTCTAGACCCACAAATGAGACCTCACTGGCTCTTTCCTTCCATCTTGATATAGAGAAACAGTTTCTATCCTCTCTTATAACTACACTGAACCAGAACTAGTTGTCTTGAACAAGGGCTTCATAAAGCACTGTGAGCAAAGTAAGTGACATTGTAGGAGAGACGATATTTTGTCTTTCAACCATGTCATTACGTGGATCTCAGAAGTGAGAACAAAGGAAAGGAGGAGAAACTAACGCTTAGATTTCTAAACTGAGCGATTAAATGAATGTGACATCATTAACAGAAATAGGAAAAACAGGGATGAGCAAGCTTGTGATGAATTAGTTGTAGAAAGGTTGAAGAAGTTGCTTGTGGAGTGTCCAAATACATGTTTAAGGTGATAGAGAGAGAACAGCTTAAATTCAGAGAATGAACTAAGAGATTTTTGTTTTATTTTGTTTTATTTTTAGTGTAATGATCTCTAAACTTTTTGATATCATATATCACTTTGAACGTCTAATGACAGCTACATACATTCAGAAAAAAATGTACAGACATATATACATCTAAAATCACACATACGTTTTTAGAAAATTTTCAGAACTCCCAGGTCATGTTCCACAGCCCCACCCAATCTAGTGAAAAAATATAAAAAAGAGAAAAGTTCAAGCACTAAATCTGTTCCAGCATTAGAAGTTAACATTTCCTCCTCTTCTCATTCACCTTTCTCACCCCCAAACAAGCTAAAATTCTGTGTGCCAAATAGCTTCTTGCCTAGCAATGCTTTTGAGAGGTAATAAGAAACAAATCAGGACAATTCAATGATGAGACTTTCTAAACATTGCCAGCAAGAAAATGACCCAAGGTGTCCATGTTCTCAATTACTGTAATGCTCATTTTCTTGTTCGATGGGCAAGTGCTCCTGAGCAAACCTTGGGGCTAACTGTATATATTCTGGCACATACAGTGCACCCCAAGCCCAGAAGCGGCAGCTAGCAATTATATTCCACCAATTAATGTGCAATCGTAAATTTGCAGCCTTGATGGTCCAAAGAGGTTCCCTGCTAAGTGAGATAATGAATAGGAAACTGTCAAAATAATTAGGCAAGTCAGCCCTCACAAGTCTATCTGTGAGCTGAAAGTAAAGAAACAAATAAACAAACAAATGCCTGTCCTTTAGCAGAATTAGAGATTGAAAGATGGGGTGTAGAGAAGGAAGGGCAGAGTCAAAATCTTCATTTTTGTTTTATTTAGGGGCCACAGTGTCTGTATTGAATACAGTGCTGCACCTCTCAGGTCCCTCTTCAGGATACTAGGACTTACTCCTATTACACCAGCCACTGGAAGTTCTGCTGTCTCTGTAGTCAACCATTTCCAGAATTTGCCCTCAGTTAGAGATAGCTGCCCTGCCCAAGGTCAGGCTATCTTCCTAGGGAGGGAGGGGGCAGCTCACATTCAATGACTGATCTAGGCCAGATTGCCAAGTCCTGGCCCCTCTCACCAGAACCAGACACAAATCAGACGGGCCAACACAGCTTCAAAACTCCTTAAGGAGTTGACTGAACCCTCTTTGGTTGAGACTGCACTGCAGACCAACTCCTCCCTCTGCCCATTTCTAGTTCTTTCCCTGAGAACACTCCTTAGTAAACTTCCTACCCACTAACTGCCATCTGCATCTGCTTCCCAGAGAATCCAACAGGCAGCAGTGTCCAATCATACATCAGTGTCAGGATTACTACAAGGAAATGTCCTGGAAACAAAGAATGGTCTCTTCAATTCAGTTTAACAAATGTTTCTTGTATGCCTACTGTGTGCACAGCAAGTCTGAAAGCACACCAAAGTAAGTTTTTCCTTGAGAATTTTTTTATTGTTTGTTTATTTGTTTGGTTTGATTTGGTTTGGTCTTCTGAATCAAATATACATAGACTAACTTCTAAGGTGATTTTTCTGAGTAAATTCACCTCCTTTTGGATTTTCTCACAGTCTAAACTAAAAAGATAATACAAGCTCAAAAAAATACACCAAAAGAGAAACTGTTGATGATAAAAGTCAATAATATTTCTGTGTTACATTTGAAGTACATAATTATATGTACCGCTTGACTATAAATTCAAATAGATCAGAAGAAGGCAGAAAAGGACTTTACAGGTCACCTATAAAGGTGATATTCAATGTAAATATCATTATATATTGTGAATACAATAACATACACCACAATCTCTATGAGCTATAAAGGCCAAGAGTGGTGAACCATGTGGATTATATACAGTACAGGGTGGCCCACTTTTCAAGTGTTACGTGGATATAGTTCCAAATGAGGCAGGTGGGCCCCACCTTAAACAAACTTGATAAATGAAAACACAAATTACTATAAAGGATAGAGAGTGATTTGAAAAAGAATTCACATGGAGTTTTTAAAACATTTCATTAAAAATATGTCCCAAATTTTAAATGTATCTGTATTCAACTTTTTATCAGCATATCTTAGAGATCTCTATTTTACTATTTGAAATCTCCTTTTTTGTCCCTATCTTCTGTAAATTTTGTAAATTGTATCACTGTTTCCATTTTTTAACTGTGATATTGTGATTTATAATAAGAAATATACATTTGGTCTTCATCCCTGTCTCTGGCACAGAGCTCCTAAAACCCTCATAATTTCCTAACCCATGAGAGCAATAAAAGTGTCTTTTGTTATGTTAATGAGGTGACTTTTGGACCTACTCCCCACCCCAAAGGAAGGGGGCTGACTGCCAGGAGAATCAACCGTGTGATTGGAGGGTTGGAACTTCCAGTCCCACTGCCCCCGCCAATCTCTGGGGAGGGGAGAGGGGCTACATGTTGTAGCAATTACCAATTGCCAATGATTTAACCAACCATGCCTGTGTAAGGAAGCTTCCATAAAAACCCAAAAACCCAAAAAGGATTCAGAGAGCTTCCAGGTTGGTGAACACATGGAGATGTGACGAGTATGGCCCACTCTGAGAGGGCTTGGAAGCTCCAAGCCCCTTCCCACATACCTCGCTCTTTCCATCTATTCCATCTGGCTGCTCCTGAGTTACATCTTTTTCTAATAAATCAGTACTCTAGTAAGTAAAATGTTTCTCTGAGTTCTGTGAGCTGCTCTAGTAAATTAAGTGAACCCAAGGAAGAGGTCATGGCAACTTCTGACTTATAGCCAGTTGATCAGAAGTACAGGTAACAACCTGGGCTTGTGATTGCTATTTGAAGTGGGGAGATGGGGGCCAGTCTTGTAGGACTGAACCCTTAACATATGGAATCTGATGCTAGCTCCAGGTAGATAGTGTCAGAGTTGGGCTGGATTCTTGAACACCCTGCTGGTGTCCAAGAATTGCTTGATAGTGTGGGGCGAAGTGCCTCCTGCCCGCACACACACATATTACAATTGAGTCCAGGAACTCAAAAGATGAACCTATACATAACACTCACTTTCCTGTCCCTTACAAGTAGTATGACTTTACAAGGGTCATTTACCCATCCAAAGCTTCAATTTCCTCCTCTGTAAAATGGAGTCAGAAACAACTAGCTGAGAGCTGTTGAGAAGACTAATGAGAAATAGGAGAAAACGCTTCACAGTCCTCAATGGTTATTGTTTGTTGTCAATAATGTAAAATGTTTGATAAAATCTTCCACACAGAGATTTAAAAAAGAATCTGTTCAAATAATGCATGATTTAGGATACATTCAAATCCCTTGTAGCTTACATTGCTATATCTATTTAAACACAAAGAAAGTATTTTTAAAATAAACTTTTTAACTCTGTATTTATAAATAATGCCCTGATAGAGAACAACTCATTACCCCTCTCCAAATGACCTAAAATAAAGGAAAGTGCTTTCAGATTAAGAATGTCTGCATGAGTCTGCTCTACCCAAACACAGAATATTCCTTTTACATTTTGGTGCTGGGAAAAAAAAGGCCTCAGGAGAACAAGCAATGGCCTCACTAAGTACCCAAGTATTTTGTAGTATAAGGCTCTAGCAAGTGTAATAGGCCTTAAATAATCTTTCTAGAAGAAACTCTGTAGTGTGCTTAGTAAATAATTTTGACGACTGGGATCATTTGCTTTAAAGCTGACTGTGCTGAAAAGCCTTGGGCACAATATTAACAGTGTCCCAAAGCACTGTAATTGGGCAATTAGTGCTTAATGATATAGAAGAAGGGTGACGCTCTATCCTACATAAAATTGAAAGAAAGGTATTGCTTGAGCTGTTAAGACCAAGGAGGCATGCATTTTCCACTGTCAGCATTACAGCTTTTTTGTTGTGGCTGTTTTTTAACATATAGCAACAAAAACATATTTAATCTAAAGGCAATCTGTCAACATTTAGAAGCAAAGATGTACAAATAGGAAAAAAGAGGCCTTGGTTGTCATGTCCATTGAGAAGTCTAACTGAGTGCACTGCATATTTATGGGTTTGGTGAGCTTTCTCTTACCTTTTCTTAGTCCTGTTTCGTGCATCACACCAGGATTAAGTATGTTTTGGAGTTCTGTAGTTTTAACACTTTTCCAGTTTAGGACTTTTCTTCTTTGTGGAGGCCAAGATTTCTGTAAAATTTAGGAACTTTGGGAAATGGTGTCTTGATTCAAATTTTACTTCCACAAGACCTACGTTGTGACATTTTGAAGGATTCAATTACACAGACGTTCACCCAGTGCCACGCACTCTGTGAGGCACTAGGAACACAGGAATGACATCATGTATGAGCAAGAGGCATTCTCTCTGATGTTCTTGGCAATGGGTTTTTATCATAACTACAACCCTTTATACAACTGGTTCATATGAAATGAAGGTTATTCTTTTGTAACAATGATGTGAAATGACCTTTCATGGACGAGCTGTTCTTCTGAAAAGTGACGTCAAACAGAAGCACTAATTCATATAGAGATCATAAAAAACAAAAGAACTCCTTTCCTCATGAGACAAACTGCAGAATTCAGACTAGTTATGGCTTAAAATCCATCTAAGGGATAGGTGGGTAACTATTAACAGAACTGAAATATGGCCAGGAACAGAACCAAGGGGATATTAAATCATAGTGATAAATATGGTTAAATAGTTGTATGCTTAAAAATAAATCATTCTGTCTACCAACATAAGCATGAAGGAACAAACTGGATTTTTGAAATACATTTGAGAACCTATGCATCCAAATTAAGGCCAGGAGGCCCCGGGTGGAATCTCAGATCTCTTTGCTAAGTATACATCTCAAAAATTTGTAAGCCTCCACTTCCTCACCCATGAGTTTGACATAGTAATGCCTGCCCTTTATTCAAAACATAGATCATTAATATGAAACCTTTATGAATGATCAGTGCCATACGAATGTGGGGAAGAAAACTGACTGCCCTTAAGAGTATCTTCTTATAATACCATATATTTACCTTAAAATAGTATAAGGTTCCCAGACACATGAGTCACCTTAGGGATGTACTCACCCTCAATTCTGCTGAACCAAACTTCAGATGGCGCTGACTGTGCCTGACGAAGAAAAGGAAAGTGTTGAATTTTACAAATAAAATCGAGAAATTAAACAGTGGAACCTATTTTGAGGAAAAAATAGAAACCTAATTCCTGAATTAGAGAATACTCACTTAGACCCTGAAAATATGTGCAGGGAACAAACAGCGCTCCTTCCTCTAATCCAGACTTTCCACGTTGCTCTTCAGCTGGAGGGCGCAGGTGTTCACTGTCCAACCGGGAACTAGAAGGACGTCTGTGAAAATGTATTCCATGGCTACATTCCTCTTGAACATCATTCTAATGCCAACACCCGACATCCTGGGGAGTCTGTTTTTTCTCATTAATTAGGTTTTTTCAAACTAATTTTGAATTAAAAGACTGTTTGGTTTACTATGAATGTCCAGGAAGAGTAAGTATGAGTGGATATATTCCAGTGTCAAAGCCAATAGACTGATCACACCATCTCTTGAGATTCAGACCCCTTTCAAACAAAAGCGCAAAATAGCTATGTGCTATCAAGGCTCAAACTCAAGATTAAAAGCTGAATTGTCCTTCAGATGACCATCTCTGGGAGCTGAACGCCTAAACCAGCAGTTCATTACCTGAAATCTATGGACTTCAGCGGAGGAAGCATGTCAAGAATGTTCCAAAATAGTGTGTAAAATATTTGTAAATATGAGCATTTGTCTTGGAAGTGGATCCGTTTCTGTCATCAGGCCCTGAAGACGACCTAAGACACAAAACAGGGAAGAACTCCTGCCTTAGGCTAAACAAGGGTGAGGATGTCAGGACTGTCAAAGCTCCTGTAAAAATTGCATATTTTTACATGCCTTTTATCCTGTAAAGCACAAATTGGCAAAGAATCAGCCAAAGCTGCCTTCCTTTACATAAGTATTTTTTTTTAACTTTGGCTTGACTCTAATTTCAAATGATGATGAAAAATTATGCCTTAAACTGAATCAACCAGCACTTCTTCAGCCAGTGTATACAACCTGGGCTCTAAGTGACATTGCTCAACTGAGCTCTGACTTGTTGGCACAAAGAAATGAGTGTGAAGGTTCTTTTCACCCTATTTTTAAGATTAAAAGATTTTTGAAATGTTTTCTCTGATTGATGCATACTGACATTTTAATGAATTTTTTAAATATAAGCTCCTTGCTTTCCTAGCAGAGAAAGTGGGACTGTAAGAAAGATTCCAATTAATAAAGCTGTCTCCACCGCTTCAGCTTAACACTGTTAAAGCATTTGGGAACTAAAGTTAAAATAAAATTCTCTGGAACTGCAGCAAATGAAGTCATTTTGGATTAGGAAAAGTACTTTTTCCCCTTTTGAAGGCATTTCCTTCTTTGCCCATACATGAACTTTCATAGAACCTGGAAATTATTATCATAACTCAAACCTATGAGTCTTAAAAGGAAAATATTTTTAAATTAAATGTAAGGAAAATTAGCTCTACAATTTAACCTTTATCTTCAGAACGGCAGAGTGTTGTAGCAATGGTAGCAATGACTGAAATTGATAAAGGGCTTCTCTGTGAGAAAATCTTTTTCCAAAATTTTCTCTCTACTCAATTTTCACAATGACAACATGATATTAGTGTTATCCTTTATTTTACAAAGGAGGAAACAGATTCCACCTGTGCTCTGAATACTTCATGGTCAGAAAACTTCCTCATTCAAATGCTTCTGTCACCAATAGCTTATTCCTCTCAGGATGAATACAGTAATGTAGGCAATTAGGAGAGAGGGAGGAAAGGAGAGAGAGAGAAAGAAGAAGATGATAATGATGATGGCAACGGCAATGACAACGAGGAAGTGGAGGAGGAGGAGGAAGCGGAGGAGGAGGAGAAGGCGGAGAAGGAGGAGGCAGTGCAGGTGGAGGCAAGAGGAAGAAAAAAGAAAGAAGGGGAGGAGGCAGAGAAGGGGAAGGGGAAAAGGAAAAAGAGAAAAGAGAAAGAGGAGAAAAAAGGGAGGGCGAGAGGGGATAGAGGGCGGAAGGGAGGGAGAATAAAAAGAAAACCCTTCCCCCATGTCAGCGCTGCTTTCGAGTCTCTCCTGTCTTCAGCCCAAGGTTTTTTGTGAGTAGTCAGTATCCATGGTTTCTCAATTCTCACATCTTATTCACCCTTCAACTCACTGCATCCTGGCTTCCATCCTCATCACACCGTCAGAACTATTCTTACTAATATAATCACTCATCTCTACTTAACAAATTCATTGGGAAACTCTCAGTCCTTTATATGCCTAATCTCTCTGCAACATCTCACAAAAACCTTGCTAACATTTCCAACGTTTGACTGCTGCATTACCATTTTCATTAACTTCTCATCCTTGGAGTCTCCTTTGACATCTCTCCTTACTCTTCTTTTCCTTTAAATGTTTCTGGAGCTCAGGAAGATACCCTCAGCCCTCTTCTTTTCTGATTGATCTCTTCTTTATACATTTTATTGAGTGATCTTGTCTAGTCTAATGGTTTCAACCACTAACTGTCTTTTGGTGACTCTCAAATCTGTAACTTCACCCCTGATCTTCCTCCTGAATTTCTATACAAATGAAAACTATCAATTAGACACTTTTGCCTGTTTTCCATAGTCACCTCAATATGTCCAAAGCCAAACTCAGTAATTTTCCTCATCAGACTTTCTACTCTTGCCACACTCCCAATCTTTACGAAGGACACCAATTATCCAATCATTTGTCCCGGTGGGAAAGGATCCTGAACTCCTCTCCCTCGCCCCACATTTAATCAGTCATTCAGTCCTGTTGAGTCTTTGTTTTAAGCATATAACCTATCTTCTCCTTCTCCGCTATCTTTGGCCATGGCAACATCTTCCTAACTACCCCCGCCAATTTCCAATCTATGTTTCACAATATTAACAAAGTGATCCTTCCAAAAATTATGTTCATGATGATGGACACATTTAAAATCCCTCACTGTCCCCCTATTAATTTTAGGACAAAATCTTAAGCCTTTAACATTATAGAAACTCTTGTCTACCTTTCCAAATCTGTCTCCCACTGTTCCCCAACACACCTTGCAAACTAAGCATACTTTATTTCCATAATTTATAGGGAAATAATAATTATATATAATCACTATATACTATATTATATAGTATAATTATGTAGTTATAATTATATTTGGCCTCACCTTTCTGTCTCTGTGCATGCTGATCCCGCTGCCTACAACTTTCTCCTTCAAATAGTAAAATTAAGAAAACCATTGTTTTACAACTCCTAATGAAATAACTGATCCAGGCAAGGTCATCAATGGATATTAAAACCACGAGGCATAAGGTTGACAGGGAGTAACACACTTTCACCGTCTCAATTTCCTGATATACAAAAGTGAGACAACCAGACATTTGATTACTGATGTGATGTAATTTGAGAGACTCAGGACTATCTATGAAAAATTTTAGACCTATTCCCCAAGAAACACTGAATCTAAAAAAACCTTTAGTTCTAACTTCCAGTCTATAGAAACAGACTAATAAATTAAATGACATCATGAGAACTATTTAACCGAATTTAGATAGTAGATGCCTTAGGTTGGGTTCCCCTAAAAGAAGACTTTGAGACAAGGTTTATGGTTTATTTGAGGGATACCATTGGCTGAGAAATAAAGAAACAAAATAAGCAAGGGGAAGGAAGGAAGCTGCTAACAGGAGTATTACTGAGCAGGTTGCTGCAGCAAGGAACTGGGATTCAATCCCACTAAGAAACTCTGAAAGGCAGAGTAGAACATATCTCAGAGTTATCCCAAAGGTTAGCAAGCTGAGTCATTTATCCACTCTCACCAGTCATTTATCCGCTCTCATGAGTCATTTATTCACTCTCACCAGTCATTTGTTTGAAGGCTGTGGTGGGTGGTGGAGAGGCATGGGGGTGTTATTAACTCATGCATGGCTGGTGGTGGGGAGAAGCAAGAAAGCCCAAAGGCAGAGTCACCGTTGCTTTCTTTGGGAAGCCATCGGGTCAGTGTGCATGAGAGCAGTGAGTGCCAATGGAACAGGAGCAGGGCACTAACAGCATCTTTTACAGTGAAACCCCTACAGGACAACTGACACTTCAACCAAACCGCGGAAAAGGGGGTGAACAAAAGGCACTATTCCAGATTAAAGAAGACTTTAAAAAGCCTTCAGTGAAATAACCAAATCAGCAAGTTGGCTTGTTTGGATCCTGATTTGAAAAATCCAAGATATTTGAAGACAATCAGGGAATTCACAGATGTTTTGCAGGACATATTCAGGAAATGTAAGTTCCACTTTGTGATGTGACAGTCGAGACTCACTACTTGAAGGGAATACAGCGCTATGGCAGAATTTTCTGCAAGGAGTTAAGTTTGATGATACAAGCAAGAACATTTCAGAATAAAATATCAACACAATGAGAGAAAGGAGGATGAACAATTCAGTTGTGGGAAGAGAGAGGAAAATTGTTACTTTCATCGTGACTATATTCCCCATGGCATGACCATACACCACGGTCAGGAGAAGCTTGGGTTTCATTAAGAATTGATGTTTCATAACAGTTATAATACTAGGAAGTGGAGTGAGCACATCTACTACAAGCGACTAAAGTTAGGGTCAGTGTGTTTGTTTTTAAAAATGGGCTAAGACAGACTCTGAAGCAATGTTCAACTCCTGTCTCAGGTTAATAACAAAGGAAATCATCTCTTTAGCAAAAATGCCAATGGGGACCATGTATAATTTTTGATACTCTATAGCCTCTCTGGCTACTACAGCACCTATGAGATCAAAGCTCTCAGACCAGTGCCCTTAGTAGGAGCACAGTCTAAGAAGTTTTGCCATTTCCTGACTGTAGGCATGGAGCTAAGCTGGGGACAACTGCTGCCTTTCAACTAAACATCACAAATGACCTCACCCTGTGGCCAGCTTTTCTGAACACAAATGATAGAGTCTCAAGGTTATTGGTTTATGTACACTGGCGACCAAGCCAGGCCCCAAATGACAAATTAGCATTACACATGGTAGGCAGCAGCATGGTTATTAAACACTATATCAAAACTTGTTACCTAGAAAAAGGTGCATCCTGCCATCTAGAAGGTTTCCTAATGAGAATCACTTGCTTGGCTACAAATAGATGAGAGCTGGTCAGATTATCACTCTACCTCACACTTCACAAAAGCCCTAATTAATGTGGAAAAACTACACATCTAGCCTCATCTCTCACCACACACACACCTCCTTCCCAACCTTACATTCTATCCATAGGTCATGCAGAATTTCCA